GCTAGTAAGGAATGAGGTGAGATCAGAAGAGTCCAAAAGGCACTTTGTGAGAAGGTAACATTAAAATGGAGAGCAGAACAATGACGGGGGTAATCAGACAGAAAGGAGGGAAACATATTCCATCCATGAGAAAGAACATCTTCAAACACTTGGTGACAAAGCAAAGCATGGGAGGAACTGAAAGACGTTTGGTGTAATTTGAATGAAGAGTCCAAGAATCTGGATGCGGGTGCCACCCAGTTGTGGGCATGACCCGGATGTGGACATGACCCGGATGTGGGCGTGACCTGGACAGGGACCTGGTGGGAAGAGCTTTGATGTGCGCATGTGACGGGAGCATGGGCTGTGGGGCAGGACAAACTGGGCTTGGATCGTAGCTCTGCCTCTTCCCGGTTTCTGGGGCTCTCATGTTTCTGACTGGAGCCGGGGTTAATGATGCCTTACGGCATAAAGTCCTGTGAGGCTTGAATGTGTGACTAAATGAAGAGTGCAAAACTTGTAAGAGCTTGATACATGATTATTATCACTACTAATCCCCAAGACAATGGAAAGTTATTCCCGTGTGGAGAGGGGTTTGTGAGGGGGGAGGCTGGAAACAGGATGTCAGGAGCTACTGAGGGTGGTCGGAATGAGTTAAGGGTGGCTGGAGACTGGAGGGATTGGTCAGATTTGACTGGGCAGGAAATAAGATCATGAAGGACTGAGACAGTCCATGAAATTCGGAAAAGGAATAGAAATGGATTAGAGGTGAGTAACATGGGATCATTTTGTATGTATTGGGGTTGTACCCATGAAGGATCAGGGGCAGAGACATCTTTGGTATAGCACTAAGGCTATCACAGTTTTACATGCCTCATAGACTTGTTAACAGGTACGGAAACAGATAAAACTTCCAGGAGAAATTTGTTTCCTTTGTCTTTTTTCCAGTACTAAGGATTGAACGAGGGCTTTTGCACTGAGCTACTTTCCCAGCACAACTACACCTTTTAAAATTTTGAGATGGTATCACCAAATCACTAAGTTCTCAGACTGGATTTAATCTTGTGACCTTCCTGCTCCCTGTCAGAGTGCTGGGATTATAAGCATGTGACACACAGCCATCTCTGGAACAACTTTGAAAGCCTCGCCTGACATCTGAGATGTCACAGAAACAGCTGTCTCTTCAATAGTGCTGTAATCAGAAAGCTACCCCTTCTGGAATTATAGGATACAGGGAACAGGAAACCATTACAATAGGGAGGTTCTACAGCTAGGATCAGAGCACTTCTGCAACAGATTATGTTAGCAAAGTGGATGCTCCCTCTCCCTTCACCCAGACTTGCCGCTACTATGAAGTTAGCAGCCGGACAATGGGAATTTCTGAAAATGCAGCCGTGGAACAGTAAGTGACTATACAGTTATGCTCAGTGGCAGGAAAAAAAATATTCCCAAACTTGTGCGTCTCAGGCTCAACAGTACTAGAACCCAAGCTGCAAGGGAACAGGAATGTAGATTTTTAGCTCTGCAACATCTGGAGCAGAAGGCACATCGGGAGTGTTTTGCAAGAGGTAACATGTGCTGGAGGAGAGCAGCAGCAAGTTGATTCAGGTGGTGTGGATAAGATGTTTTCCTTCAACCTTGCTGCGAATGTAAAATGTCTCTGCCTCTGCGCCATGGTGGGAAAAAAGTAGCTGAAAGTCCACTGCAAAGCTGGAGATACTACATGTCATTGAAAAATATGCTGTTTTTAAATTTTTTAAAAAGTCATTTATTACAGTAAAAGACATTGTCACTAATGCCTCTTAAATGCCCCCACCTTGCTTTGAACACCCTCATTCCACTGTTCTTGCCACTTTTTTTTTCTTTTTTTTCTTTTTGACACAGGGTCTCACTATGCAGTTCAGGCTGGCCTTGAGCTCACTTTGTAGCCCAGGCTGGTCTCAAACTCACAACAGTCCTCCTGCTTTAGCCTCTTGAGTGCTGGGATTACAGGCATGCGCCTCCACGCCTGGCTTCAAGCCACTGTCTGAAGCGGTCCTGACGTCCTCTTTTGCAAGTTGCAAGGTCACAGCTGCCTTGTGGTCTTGAACTGATTCAGAATGTTTACCTTTCATGGTCATTTTGAGTTTGGGGATGAGCCAGAGGTTGCACAGTGCCAGATCTGGTGAATAGGGTGGAAGAGGACACACTGTCATGGTTCTCTGAGCCTGACTTTCTGTCCAGTGGCACTCAGCAGCAGCAGCATTCCTTGAATTTTCAACTACATAAAGACACGCATGAGAGACCACGTCCAGAACTGCTTCAGAAAGTGACAAGAATGATGACATAAGTGTGTTTGAGGGGAGGGAGAATTTTGAGGAGGATTAAGAGCAATGTGTTTTTTACTGTAATAAAAATGTTTAAAGATTAGCAGAAAGATTTTTTGATCACATCATGTATATGTACAGTCATCAGAAAGAAGAGATCACTTAAAGTCATGGGAGTAGAGTGTCACCCAGAGAGATTAGGGAGCACAAAGAGAAAGAGATCTGGGCCAGACTGGAGGCATCTGGACATTTGAGTCTGGGGAAGGAATCTCTTTCTGAGTAATGTTTGTCTTCTAAACACGCTCTAATTTATATTAACCCCCCCAGAAAAGCCAGAATACCTTGCAAAGTCATGTTTTAAAAGCAGAGACTGCTCTGGGTCATGAAGTGGGACCTGGCACGGGTCCTCATGTGTCACTGGCACTTGGGATGAGTGTTGATGGATATGCAGAACTCAGTAATACTTAGAAAAGTTGGGAAGAGCCTCCAGAGTTTAGCTCACACAAGCTGTGATCACAGAAGCCTAAATCCTCACCAGCTCTGATTAATATCACAGCCCTGGGGCACCATTTATATTTTTCCATGAGGATTACTTTTGCTGTGTGGAAAAATGATGACAAAGGGTGGGAACTATGTAAGAAGATATGTTTACTGAAGCATTGTGTTTAATAACAAAAATCTGAAAGCAAATTAAATATTTATTCATGGGCAAAGAGAAAACAATAGTACATGTAAGCAATGGAAATATATAGCATTTGAATGAATGAACTAGATCTTTGTCTATTAATTCAGATAAGTCTCAATTTACTGTTATATGAAAAATGAAAGTCACAAAATGTTATACAAAGTATGATATCATTTATTCAAAATTTAAAAACCACACAATATTTTATATTATATATTCTTACAAGAAAACAAATATAAGAATAGATAAATGAAGGGCACAGACAAAATTCTGGGCAATGGTTGTACAACTTTGGGCAACAAATAGAGGAATGGATAGAAGGGTGAGATTTTAGCTCTCTATGGATTACTTTAAGACAAGCAGCAGTAAATATAGAAAAATATTAACAGTTATTAAATAAGTTGATGAAGCACTGAGGAAATATTATTTTCTATTCAATTCTTAATTAAAAATAAATATAAGCATATATAAAGTTTGCAATTCCCACAGCAGGAATCAGGCTTTCTTCCCTGAACCTCAGTTAAGCAGATGAGTAGGGGAAAATGTATACACTTAAATCCCTGATTTACAAACGTTCAAGTTGTTGTGCTTTTACAGATCTGAATGGACCTTGCATTACAAACATTTGTAGATGTGAACCTGTTGTGGAAGTAGCTGGACATTGTCACAGTTGTACTGCTGTGTCCTTACTGTGCAGTGTAATAGTGTAGAATATTTTTGTTTGGGTTTTTTATGCTTTACACTATATATTGGACCAAAAGTGTGTAAGACTCACTTTTTGGACTTACAAATGAATCCAACTTCTGAACTTTCTCCTGTAACAGAACTTGTTTGAAAGTCAGGAACTCACTGTATATATACATACATTCATATACACACACATTTATACATACATATATGTATATGTACATATGCATATACATACCCACATATAAGCACATACATATGTACTTGCACATACACACATGCATATATGCATAACTTCAAATTAAAACAAGCTTTACTTTATTGGACAAAATATTGGCTTTACCATAGTTTCTGAGAGTCATAATTTTAATGTGATGGCAGTTTAACCCTTCTCTGGGATTTGACTATGTACCAGATCTACAGAGAACAGGGATCATCTGCGTCTCAGGTGGAATGATGATCATGGAGTGGTCGAGGTGGAGCAGGGAGGGCCAGAGAAAGTCCTTGGTTGCTGGAACTGCTCCAGTGTAGGGCAGAGGAACTACAGAAAGGCCATAGAGGAGCCCAGTCAAGTTTGGCGAGGAGCTGGGAGGTGGAGTTCAAATCCTAGGGAGGCCTAGACAATACCCCGTGGGTATTCCACCCAATAGCAATACATTGGCTTTGTCAATCTCTCTGAATCATTCCAGAGATGACTCTCAGTGACTTCTCTATTCTGCCTTAAAAATTTTGTCCCTGGACTGGAATACTCATAGATATTCCCAAGGCTTTAGAAATCTCTCTTGTTTGATAACTTCTACCCAGCTTCCCTTAGCACTTCCTTCTTTTTGTGCCTGTTCATACCAAACACTTTCTGGGCATCCTGCCATGCTCCAAGCCATCGTTTTTTGTGACTGGGGAATTCTGAGGAGGAATGAGACAGCTTAGGGACAGGAAGCATGAGTGGGTGCTGGAGATCAGGTGAAAATAAAGTTGCTGAATGTGGAGAAAGTTGCATGATTTTCTCCAAGGACAGGAAAACATTAGTCTACATTTAACTTGTTAGTTTTCATCAATTCACCCATCACCTTCTTCTGTAAGTTCTGCAAGTGTAATAAGTGTGTATATGTGTGTGTGCGTGTGTGTGTGCGTGCCTTAGGGTTGGGGTGTGGGAGGAAGGGAAGCCAATAGTCTGTTAAGTCAAGTTCAATGTTTACCTAAGAGGCACACATTTTAGGTAGCCTAGGATCCCAGTTAAAAAAGTGGCTTGTTGCCGGGCTTGGTGGCACACGCCTATAATCCCAGCACTCAGGGGCTGAGGAAGGGGGATTGTTGCAAGTTCGAGACCAGCCTGGGCTACAAAGTGAACTCAAGTCCAGCCTGAACTGCATAGTGAGACCCTCTCTCCAAAAGAACAAACAAACAAAAAAAAGTGACTTCTTTCAATCGCACAGAGGTGTCATTTGCTCATAAAATTCCCAGGATCTAGTTAACCTGGAAGAGTAACAGATTTTAGTTTTAAACTTTCTGGGTTGTCTATTTCCTATGTATTTACCACTTGATTTATTAGTAATCACTGCCTTTTTTGTTTTGAAAGCCAGATTAATCTTTGAGATGATGTTCCCATTGTTTCCTTTGCAATTGTTTTTCTTTTTTTTTTTTTTTTGGTTTTTCTCTGGTACCGGGAACCGAACTCATGACCTTGCGCTTGCCAGGCAGGCGCTTTGCCACTGAGCTAAATCCCCAGCCCTGCAATTGTTTTTCTGAGCATTGCTGGATAGAAACTGAAATGAGGCACCACTCACACTGCAAAAGTCAGGTACTTACTTCTGCTCAGAGTACAGTTAGTAGAAATGAAAATAGAATCTTTCCAGAGGGAGAGCATGAGAGGGTAGAATGTTCGCTTAGTTTATGCACACTGAGGCTGCATATACCTTCTCAAGAATGGGTCAGTCGGTTTAATCAAGATTCAGTTGTCCTACTCAGTTAGTATACAACTCCAATCCCAGATGCCCCCATATCTCTAGCTTTTTAAAAAACCTGCCTGTGTTCTGACCACATAGCATTTGGCTTGTGGGATTCACCATCTTTTTCAATGTCTGTGCCTCTCAAAGAATCTACTCACAGAAAGAGTCAAAGAAAAGGTAGGTTTTTCAGAATATTTCACAGATGAGACCTAGGAGGAGGGTGCTGTGACATACTGCTCAGCATAGGACTTAACATTTCTCCTTAGCTGTTCTTGTTCTCCAAGTCCCTCTCCTCCTTTTCTTCTTTAAATATTTTCTAGACTGTAACAAACTTTGCTGAGTTCTTAATCCTTTCTTTTCTCTTTTCTTTCTTGAGAAAAATGGAATTTTATTTCTTCTGGTTTGTTTGCATAGCAGTGAGGGTCTCTCTTTTCTTCCTAAAGCAAACCTCAGGGGCTTACACTTTAAGCCGAATGCTTCATCAAAGTTCTTCAACAGATAACTTATTTCTTCAAAGATGGTGTGACGTTGTCAAGCCTGATGTCATGAGACAAATCTCATGGCAGCCTAGGTCACGACAGGAGGGTGCCATAGCTCAGAAGTTCTTCTCGTTGTTTTCAAGTCATTATTGTCTATCAACAGCTTTGTCAGGGACCCACAAGCCCTCCACAGAACTGATTTTCTGAGAGGAGACTGAAGCAGGGAACAGACATATCTCATGCAGGGGATGGCAGCTGGCCCCTGGCTAAATGATAGCTTCACCTTGATCATTACAAATGGATGGGAAGTCTGCTGAATCACACGTTCACTCTAGAAGGTGTCCTGACCCTCGTCACCTTATTCTGACCTGCTGTGGGGACATTCAGCCACTTGTTCCGATATCATTTGTTTTACATTGATGTGTCAGACCTTGGTTTGGTTCGGCGCTTCTAGAACTCTGCCTGGAGTCTCAGCTCACAGATGGTGAGAGGTGAAAGGGACTTTGGAGAGATTCAAACTTAGTCTTCTAATTTTTCAGGTCTCGAGAAGAATGGGTCAAGGTCAAGCAGTGAATTGGTAGCTGGGCTGGGGGAACCCAACCCCTTCTGAGTCCCACGTGGGGTTTTGTGGCCACATTATAGCACTCCCATCCCATTCCTTTGAAAGATACTTCACTTTTTAAACCCTGGATATGCATCTTTCCAAGACATAGAAGGAGAAGTATACTATTTAATGTTTTGTGGTTTCAATCTTGCTCTAACATTTTCTTTTTGCCCAGTGTTTGGATAGACGAAGTACTGTTTAGTAGAGAGCTGTCTTCTTCTTGAAGGTCAGGAGAAACTGTTCAGTCTAAACTATTGTATAAGAAGATGGACAGCACATTCTCAACAGGAAAGGTGTTTGTATCCACATACTGGAATTCATTCACCATGACGGATATGGTGGTGTTGGCCTGCAAGTAATCCAGCAAGAACTGAGAGAGATTCTGGTATATGCTTCTAGTTTGTATTCCAGACTCACACACCGTTACCAGAGCCTGTCTTTTGACCTTTGTGTTGACGAGAAGCTCCAGCTTCAGGTCCATGGAATGATTTGAACACTGTACCAGAAACTGCAGTTGGCAAATGATGAAATACAAGCCTGGGAACTGGATCACCAGGTTCCCATCATGGTATCTGACTCCGCTGAGAATGCCGTCTTCATTCCAAGAAATCTTGGTACTATTGAGATGCTTTGACACTGGGAAGAGAAGCATGAAAAGCAGAATTATTGACCAGATTTTATCTGCAGATTCGAAAACTCTGTCTTTATTCAAGATTCCCATTCGAGAGCTTTGTCTTCTGTGGTGTTACCTGGCGTACCAATCTCCTGAATATCTTTTCCTTTACACTTTGTTCTATTTATTGAAGCCACCGCTGGGAAACCACCTCTTTCCCTTTTCTGCAATGCTCAGAGATAAAGAGTCAAACATACAGCACTACCTCCCTTATCACACAATTATCACACTGTATTATTATGATGATTAGTATCTTTCCTGTTAGACTACAAGCTCCTGCACTGTATTCTGCACAAAGTCTGCACTATCATGTTCATTTATTATAGATGAATAGTTAGTGCACCACTGCTCTTTGGTCTGGATTACAGAAAGTATCAGAGATAGGGCAGTTAATATTGTTTAATTAATAACTACTTTGGGTATCAAGTTGTCCAGGAGAATCTCCATTAACTTTCATATTAAGATATATCCTTTAATGGGTCTTTGTCTGAATTTTTGAATGTCCTCTTTCTTTTTTTTTTTTTTTTTTTTGGTTTTTCTCCGGTACCAGGAACCGAACTCACAACCTTGCGCTTGCCAGGCAGGCGTTTTGCCACTGAGCTAAATCCCCAGCCCCTGAATATCCTCTTTCTTTTTTTTTTTTTGGTTTGGTTTTTCTCCGGTACCAGGAACTGAACTCACAACCTTGCGCTTGCCAGGCAGGCGCTTTTGCCACTGAGCTAAATCCCCAGCCCCTGTCCTCTTTCTTTAAAGGGCAGCCAGACACAATTGCATAGGCCCCTCATGTGTATATTAAGGAGCTCTGCCACTTGGGATTTCTAGCAGAACCTCTGGGCGGATATATTTATGTCAGAAGGCATGTCTCTGAGTCCTAACAAATGAAACTTAGCACTGCTTAGTAAGGCTACCTTCAGAATTTGGATGCCGGCATGTGTATTTTGTTTTTATATTTTTCCTTTGAAGCTCATGGCAGTTCAATTGAGAGGTAAGAACTAGTCTAACTGCAATTCAAATTTTTAAAATAAACAGAATAGCTGTTCAGGGATCTTGGCCATCTCTGTATCTCATTTGTTCGCCATGTAAGTGTCTCTTATGGCTTCACTTGTGAGGGACCTTTTATCTGAAGCACACTGCAGTATGCAAATAGGCCGTGCGTTAGCATGTTTATTAAGCTGTCAATCTGGGGACAAGACAGTTTTGTGGTTCCCTTGTGGATAGCTTCAGGGAGATCAAGAGCCTTCTTCCCTTGCTTTAGAACAAGGACTGCGTACTTGGTTAGGGCTGGTAGGTAACTGAGAAGGGAGGATGGCGGAGATAGGGGAGGAAGCAGGACGGTGGGGAGGCCAGCTGGGTAACATGAGGCAGGGAGTGGGGCGGAAGAAAGCAGAGCCTTGCAGTTTGGACTCTAACTCTCTCCCTTTCCCTTCAAGGGGTCACACTCAGATTACAGACAGTGTCCTGCTACACAGAATACACTTGCAAGTCCCCTTCAGTCCTGAGCTCTCACTGGGTCTTCTGGTTGAAAAGTGGCTGAAAGGGCCTGGAAGCAGCCCCCAAGTCCTTGGGTCTCCTGGACTTGGTTACTAACCTTTGAGGTAGGCCCTTGACTTCTTGAATGGAGCCCTTTCCAGGACACACAAGAGGTCATCTGAGCAGTTTCCTAAGAACAAAGAGATCAAACATTAGCTGTCTTCTGCTGCTCTGGAAAACGGAGATGCTGGGCTTCTTTTCAGGAGCCTTTGAGGGAGACAGTGTTGACAATTATTCTGTTTCTGTGGGTGGGGGGAAATTAAAAATTCTTTAGTTCTCTATGTCAACACATATTTCAGGAGTTTTACTTTTCTAAAATGTATTTTTTTAGTGGCTGTTTCTGCTTGGAACTTTATAAAAGACTGTAGAAGTCAGGAAAAGAAAACAAATACAACCTGAATTCCTATCATGTGAGAGGCAATATCCTCATCACTTTCTGCATTTTACCTCATTTGATCTTTGCAGCAGCTATGTGAGTTATTATTAAGTGCCTCTTAAAGATGGGACAAAACCTCTGGAGTTAGATAGATTAAATGCACTGTTCCATGTCACCCAGCCAGGCAGTGATCATCAGAATACTAATACTGTACTGAGAGTAATTATTGCTAGCTTGCCTTTTGCATGCACACCAGATACTATTCTGTACTTTTATCTGTACTAGTTAATTTAGTTCTCAGGGTTAACTCTGCTGCCCCAGGTCAAGGCCAAGAAAGCTGGTGGAAATAGAAGTTTATGGAAGAATGCATGACAGTCTGATTCCGGAGACCAGGTGTGCTCCTTTAGGCCATTTTGTTAGGTAACAAAGATAAAAGCATCTTTTCACCCCATTTTAAGAGGACAAAAGATTGATGATGATACCTCAGCAAGAAGCCTACTCTCTGGAGCTTCTATGGGAGGGGCAAACATTCATATCATATGGCATTTAAGAAATAAAAATATTTTTAGTATCTTCACCAGGGATGATAGCTTAGCTTTTTCTTATTATACTAACTATTCTGTATGCAAAGAACCAAATTATACATTTTCTGCGATGACTCAAGAACCCAATTTACAGTACTTGGGACAAATCTTTCCTTTTCTTTGAGATTTGGTTTCCTTATCTGTAAGACTGGGTGGTCTCCAGCCTGACACTGGCATTGTTTGATGATGTCACTAGAGATGACCATTCACTCCACCCGGCAGAGAAGCAGTAGTCACAGGCTCTCGCAGTAGGGTGGCCACACCCTGGTGCATTTGCTGTCTGAGTAATATGTTTTGGGCTGACAGCCTTCCCCATGGCTTTCTCTGCTCAGGCTTGAGAAAGTTCCTCCTGGCCCTCACAATTGCATAGGAGCTTGCAGTAGTTGAAAGTTGAGTGAAGACTTCCCTCTGCTGTCTGAACAAGCTTATTGCTATAGGCATCCCCAACAGAAAGAAGGCGGTTTTCATCCTTATCTGCCCTTGACTCACAAAAAAAGCTTCTGGCCCAAAGATCCTCTTGGCATTGAGGGCCAGCTGCCATTTTCTTGATCTCATCCCTCTAAACTGTGTTTTCGCCCTGCCTACTACAGCCCACTGCCCACAGTCATGGGGGAGTGTGGAATCAGAATCACACTGTTTATTCTCCTAGTGGACCATAACTACTCTTCCAGAGTAGCCCAGCTTTCCATTCTGAGCTGTGGAACATCAGTCAGAGGGCACTGCAGGGAGGTGGGATTGCCTGGATGTGTTTGCCTGGAATCCTTTTCTTCGTTTACATATCAGACCCGAGCCCCTCAGCACAGAATCCATGACCCTTGTGTCCTGACCTTACCACACTCTCCAATCCCCTTTCGCTGTGAGTCCTGACAGTGATCATCTTCACCATCAGCACAACAGTGACAGCAACGTTAATAACTGCCAATCTCTGTTGAGCAATGTCTGCATCTAGGCCCTTTGCTCAACAGGCTATGAGCATTATACCATTTAATTTTCACAATTACCCTTCTATACTAATTCTGTCACGTGTATGAGGAAACCAAGGCTTTAACACACACAGTGGCTTGCTCACCTTCCCACAGCTAGTTGTTGGTAGGGTGGAGATTCACACTCAGGCTGCGTGACTGTAATGCCTGAGTGAATTGCTGATCACTGTGCTGCCATCTGGGGGCCTGAGATGTCCTGAACACACTCAGCTGATTTGTCACTCCACTCTGTCAGCCCTTCCTGTTCCCTTTCGGTGGAACCCTCACCTTCATCAAGCCCACTGTCGTTTGAAACATAGCTAGCAGTCATCTCCCCTGGGATGTCTCTGTTGCCCTTCCTTGGTTGGCTTTTTGGTTCTTCCATGAATCCCTCTTATTTCCCTTCGTGCAGAACAACTATGCACTCAGGGCATGAGTGAGGTGAACAGGGATGTTTGGCTTGCTTTGCCCCAGGCCTCATCATCCCCAGAGCTGCGGGACAGGTTAATGTTAGAGTGAAGAAAAACAGGCCCTGGATGCTGGCTGCAGGCCCCTGGCACATGCTACTTGCATGGTACCTGCACCAAGTGAGAGGCTACCGGCAGGCAAAAGCACAAGCCTGGGCTTGTCCCTCACACACAGGTTCTTGTGTTGTTTTTTCGCTTTGATCTTCACATGTTCAGCAGGGTAACCTCAGCTGTAATTCTGAGAAACACAAGGGTGGAAAAAAAATCTTATTTTGAAGCATTTGCATTTCCTGAAGTCAAATGGCAATGCATAGTTTAGTTTTTCTTAAAGAATCTTTTAAGTAGTTTCAAGCTGAAGGGAAAGCAAAGGCAGCTCCTTTTAAGAATGATATTGCCAGCAGAGCATGGTGGCACATGCCTGTAATCTCAGCACTCTGAAAGGCTGAGGCAGGAGGATTGTAAGTTTGAGCAACTTGGTGACACCCTGTCTCCAAATGAGACCTTTTTTAAAAAAAGGGTTAGGTATATATGTAGTTCAGAGCAATGGCCTTGGGTTTAATCCTCAGGAAAGAAAGAAAAAAAAAAAGAAAGAAGAAAAGAAAGAAAGAAAGAAAGAAAGAAAGAAAGAAAGAAAGAAAGGAGAAAGAGACAGAAAGTGAGTGAGAGAGAGACAGAGAGACAGAAAGAGAGAGAGAAAGAGGAAGAAAGGAAGAAAGAAAGAGAGAATAAAACAAAGCAAAGAAAGCCATTACCAAGGCTAATTCAGGAAGGGGGACACAAGAAGAGCTATTAAGGGGACAGGGTGTTGGACATGGAGAAGACTGAGGAGGGCAGTCTCTGTCCTTCAGTATGTGATGAGAGTGCCAGTGTGGGCAGTGCAGCCTCATCTTCAAGTGTTGAACACAGTCCCTAAGTGGAAGCAGAAACAGATAAAACCCCAGCTAAAAGTCAGCACCACTTTCATCCCCATTTCTCAGATGTGACAGAGGGAACAGCTATACTAAGTACTCCCAAGTCACACCTACGCCCCAGAGTTAGAAGCTCAAATATTTGGCTGGTCAGTGCTGCTCAAAGATGGGGTATGCTGCTTTGAGGGTCATGAAGCTCTTGTCAAGAGCTAGGTAAAGCTCTGTGAGGGTCACTCGCCATGTACAGCTCATTTCCTCATTGCTTGGGTGTCCACAAAGTGACTTTCCTATTTGATATGAAGACAAAGAGGAGTTCTTTGGGACAAGGACCTAATAGCTGGTACTACATGTAACTGGAATCTTGCAGTGTCCCTGCAGTTTTGAGGACCAGGTACATAGAGACCAAAACACACCCTGCATCCCTTGTTTTCCAGCTGAATAGGGTGTCTGGTGGGCTCAGATTGAGAAACAGAACATGAAGGTGTGGAAAATAAGAACCATATGCAGATAGCGGTTGAGTTGGCCTGGGAGTTAGGATCCTGGAATTTCCTCTTTATAGGCTCTAGTGTCCCTATCCAGATGGAGATTGGTGTGGACTGATGACCCAGAAGGCCTTTCTAGCTTGTTCTAGAAGGTGAAACAGACTCAGCTCTGTACTGCCAGGACTGCTGGTGGACTTAGAGAGGGGCAGGTGAGTCCCAGTTTTGATTGTTTGTTTTGTGGGCATATTGCTCTACCTTAGGTAGGAGACTGTGTTCAGATCTTTCAGATACCTACAGTAACAGAACAGAACATTCCAGCTCTGGGGACGGTCTAAGTTATGAGTAGGCTGGTTCTGTGAAATTTTGTATGGTTGTTAGAAGTTCGCTGAGAGAATCTCTGGTCCAGTTGTGTGGACACATAACCATGTGCCTCCAAGCAAACTGGCCCTAGGTCACCCAGAAAGTTAGTAATAGAAGCAGGACCAGAGCCCAGAGATGCATACTCCTTTTGTCGGGGGGCATTCTGTCTTCCAAATAATTGGAGCACTCTGAATTTCCCTGAGGTCAAAGCCTTCAGGTGCACAATGATTCTCTATTGTATTTTTGTCTCTAAGCTCTGGCCTCTTCTAGAATGATCATGGATTTCTCTTTGATGTTGCTTGGAAGACTGGAAAGAAAGATGTGCCAATAAAATCCTACTGGCAAGAGGAGAGAGGTCTGGAGAAAAAGACAGGGTGGGAGGTAGCTGAAAGAACCATAGTCTTGAAGCTCAGGATTATGGTAAACTTAAAACTAGACCCTGATTTGGGGTTTCATGATGGTTGATTGAAAGGGCCGTCAGATGCCATGTTAACAGAGAGCTCAGTTTTATGAATTGGAAGACTGAACCCAGAGAGGATCTGTGCCGAGGTCCCACCATGGGTAGGTGGCAGAGCTCGGTGCAGAGCACAGGGGTGCTGACTCCTGGTCCGGGGATCTGTTTCTGTCTTTCAGTTTTCTCATGGAGCAGGGAGGGTTAAGGACAAGAAGTGGGCTCAGAGCCACAGCAGACACTGGAACTGAGAACTGTCAAAACAGCTGGAGGGGCAGAGAAAACAAGCACTGAAGAGCCCTCCCGGTTCCGTCCTGTGGGAGAATGCCAGCAGGTGACTCCGGGCCTGTGTGCAGAAAGCTGCCAAGTCACAAGTCAAGGCAATCAACCCTCCATAAAGATGCAGCAATGCTTGGGGCAGCTCAGTTGTGGCAAAAGAAGCCACAGGGATCATTCCAGCCAGACGGCAGGTGTTTTGAGTGCCAGGTGCCTCCCAGCTCTGCAGCACCTTCCCTGCAAGGACAAGGTAGACACAAAGCA